TCTTAGACTTCCCAGAAGAGATTGTTCTTCACACAGCTTGCAGCCAAACCGTGGAAGTTCACAGTACAGGATGCTGTGAACGCTGAGTTCAAGGAGCAGCTGGAGGAACTGGATGAGAACTGGGGGCTATTCAGTACAGAAATACCACCCATGACAGAGAGCAGTCAAACTGGGGGAATTACTGAATCCTTGTACTCTTCCTTAATAATCTGCCTTGGGCCACTGGGACAGACCAGCCTTCCCTTGGAGTCGCCAGGGTGTTAAGAGCCACTTTGTATCTGTAAAAATACTTCTGCAGTGATTGTGTTTGTTTTGCCCATTTTCTTCCTGTGAATATTTGATTTCAGTTTAGGTGCTTATGTGTACACCTGGGATGCTGCTTAAGGCAAGTTTGGGAGTCCAGACTCCTATCTCCTTTAACTTTCAGAACTTTGCTCCTCATCAGCTGTTCTCTCCAGAGCAGCTTCCCATGCTAAATGGGAAGACACCTTCAGAAAATATTCTGAATTTCAAGAAACATTTGTACTGCCTAAAATCTGCCCTTTTCTTTTGCCCCTAGACCAAAATGGAAGCATCCCAGAGCAGCAAGGCCGGTGCCAACGGAGCCTAACCTGGAGCCAGCCCTGGGAGGAAGCAGCTTCCATCTCCACACCTCCTGCAAAGGGAGCAGGGATTTCCCAGGAGCCTGCTCTACACAACAAGGCAGTAGCCCTAAGGGCTCTCTCTCTGTCCCAGGCTTGTTAGCAGCTAGGCCACTGCTGTCTGGATGGCCCCAGACATCTCTTTTGTGCTGGATCCTCACCCTGCTACTTTTAACTTATGGTGTAAATATGTTAATAATGGTGCTGCTGTCTGTGCTGTTCCTGAGCAGGTGTTTGTGCTTAGCAAAGGCAGCTTTTCGTGTCAGAGTGGCCTGTGCACAGAACAAACTGGGCTGGGGGTCCAGCAAAGCTCATTCTGCAGCGTGAAACCCTCTGCAGAACTATCCCCACGCACCCAGGGCCAGCACCTTGTCTTGAGTGTTGCACCTCAGGCTCGTGGTCCTGATTAGGGTGTTTTAACCAGTGACCAGCCCACAAGGAGCACGTGGCCACAGTTTTACTGAGGAGGGTAACCCTGGGAAGGAGGGAGCAGTGATAGAACTGATCAGAAGGACTTCAGACCTTGCTGGGCAGGAGCAGAGCAGTGACAGGAACAGCCTGTGGGTGTTGGCTTCCCCAGTGAGAGCTGTGCAGGTGCCACACACTGTGACAAAGTCAGATTTGCACTTTCAGGATCCCTCTGGGTCATGTGAGGGAGCAGCCTGGGACCTGCACAGCTTTCCCAAGTGTGGTTAATCCTTACCAGGCTCAGAATACACTCCAAGCGCTCTCCATGCTTTGCAGAGTGACTCCTCACATGCTCCAGTGGTGACTCAGTTTTTGCCAGACTCAGAGGATACTGAGAAGCTGTTTTTAGCATTTGTTAATTTTTTTACTCTGTCCTTTGTAAATGCTGAGAAATTACTCACATTATGGATTTTAAATATGTATATTTATACTTACTGTAAAATTAGATTTGGTGCTAAGTAGGAATGACATGTCTCTTCCAGAGGTCAGACAGCCTTTAGAACAACCCGACTGAAAGCCAGTTCTCCAAGGTGAGAGCAGCACTTTAAACCTGAGGCTTCAGGCTCCTACAGCCTCACAGTCAGCTGTCAGGGGTTCTGTGCCCTTAGCTCTGTACCTGAACCTCTCCTTGTGCATCCAGCCCGTCCACAGTGCCGGATCTGTGTCTAATAAATGGGAGCAAATGTTATTTCAATAAAATAACACCTTTGCTGTGGTGTCACTGCTGCCTCTTAGCGCCGTAATGAGGGAAGGCATCTCCTCCTGCCTGCTGTTCCAGCCTGTGCCTGCTCCTGCTCCCAAACCCGGCTGAATTCCTCCTGGCAGCCTCTGGGACCCCGGCAGGTTTGGGGTGAAATGATCGGGTAATGGATGGCTCCTTCGTTTGCCTCCAGCAGCCCGGAGCGTCCTGCTCCCTCCGAGCAGCGAGCAGTGCCGGCTCCCAGCGCTGCTGCCCCGCAGCCCCTGCTCCAGGCCGAGGGAGAGGAGGAGGCTGGCGGCTGTCCTGGGCGGGAGGAAGGCAGAAGCAGCCAGCGCCGGCTGCCGAGGGAGCAGCACATTCCTCTGCTGAGAGCTTTCACAGATGGGGAGGGAAGAGGGGCGGGCGAGGAGCCCGGACATCACCTGGGCACTGCCCTTCCGTGGCCGGGCTCTGGGTGGGCTCTGGTTCCTCCCATGTTCCCATCCTCCAGCCCTGCAGCACCACGACCCCGTCACCCTGGGGTGTGTGCAGGGCTCGTGTGTCCAGCTGCCTCCTGTGGTTCCAGTTCAGAAAGATGTGGAAGCTGGGACTCGACTCGCTCTTCCTTGGGTGCCCCGCGGTGACCGCCGGCCCCGCACCCCTGCTCAGCTGAAGCAAAGCCTCCCTCCTGCCAGGGGAGCCGGGCCCTGGAGCGGGCCGAGGGGGATGAGCCCCAGGCACTCCCTGGTCCCTTACGCACCTCTGAACAAACCCATTTCCAGATCAGAAATACCCTTCTTCCCCAGCCTCACGGGTCAGTGCTGGGGCACCGAGTCTCACCCTGCCTGGGACCCCGGGCACCTCCCCAGGACCCTGCAGGCACCCAGAGGAGAGAGGCAGCAATCCTTCATGACCTTCCGAGCGAGGGAAGGAAACGACCCCCGCGGAGCCCCATAAATCACGGGATTCTGTTCTGCAACACTGGGCAATGAAACGCTGCAGAGATCCAGGGCCGTGTGTGCTTTGGCGTGGGGAGAGCTTTTCCAGCCACGCCGGTGCCAAACACCTTCCAGTCTCCCCTCAGCCTGGAGAAGCGGCTCCTCTGCTGTTTATCCTTCCCCAGGGCATCCTCTCGCTGCTCCAGCCTGGAGCCGGGTGTTGGGCCTTGCCCGGGAGCTGGGGATTTCTGCTGGATGCTGCTCCTGTGCCAGCGCCAGCCCTGGCCTTGCGTCAGCCTCTTCCCCAGAAAGCTGCTGGGGAAAGATGCCCCGCTCAGCACTTTTGGCGGAGATCGGTATTCAGAGGGAAAAGCAGTGATTTAGTGCGGCCCAAGCACAACAAAGGCTGGGATTTACAGCTCCCGGATCCCAGCGCCACATTCCTGCAGCCCTTCTGCCTCTGCTATAAACGTGTAACAAAGGAGTTGGAGCTTTATCCCAGCCTAAGTCATGTGGGACAAGGGCTCCTTTGTCAAACCTCGCCTGGAGCGGGACGGGGTGCAGGTGGCAACGTCCCCAAGGTGTCCCCATCCCACTGCCCGTCATGCTGTCCATCCTGCTCCTCCTCGTGGTGTGGGGCAGGGCCCAGGACAGCCAGGGTTTGGGGAGCCTCGTGCCCCAGCTGCAGCTGCACACATCTGGCTCTGGCTCTGCTCAGCTGCGCGGGGCTGGAGCCCGGGGTCCTGCTGACCCCACGGCTGGGGGGGACTCAGGGGACAGAGGGGGCTGTGGGCAGCCACGGCCCCCAGGCTGGGGGGGATTGCTCCCCACACTTCTGCTGAGCCGTGCTCCGGGCCGTGGCATCCCGCACCAAGGTGGAACAGCACAGGAGCAGCGGGCAGAGCCCAGCTCAGCGCTGGCAGAGCAGCCACGTCCTGGGCTGGGGCCAGGAGATTGTCCCGGCCCTGCACAGTCCCAGGGCTTTAAAAGGAGAGAACGAGGAACCCAAGGAGTGGAGAAGACAAAGGATGCTGTGAGAGCCAAACGTGCTGTAGGCCAAGCACTAGTTAGTCGCTGATGCCCAACACACCCCACCCGCTCAGGGGCTCCTGGGGGCAGCACCTTTAGATCTGCTGTGGTTCTGGAGCCATTTCCCACGGGACCCTGTCCCATCTCCCTGCTAAGCAGAGATCTCGGTGCTGGGCAGTGCTGGAGGGGCTGCAGGCACCCCCTGACAGGGTCCCAGCTGGGGGGTGCTTTGGTCCTGGGGGTCCCCACAGCGCTAGGTGGGGTCTGTGGGGGGCTGAGATCAGGTTTGGGGAATGCCCCTCTCCCAGACTGCCCACATGGAGAGGATGGCTCACCAGGAAGAGCAGAGGAGCTGAATCTTCCTGCTGGGGTCCAGCACTCAGGCAGCCCTGTGCCATCACCTCCGTGGTTTCTGCTGAGCTGCAGCCAGGGCAGCACCCCAGGGACCCTCCACGCCTGTGTCCCCACGGGACGCAGTGGGCACCCAGCTGCACGTGCCCCTTCCCCAGCCCAGCCATGAGCACCAGCAGCTCTGCTGCAGCTGCTCTGCTTATTATCATATTTAATTGCCCTCCTGGTAACCCCAGGAAATGAGCAGGAGATGGTGAGAGCTGCACTTTGGGATGATGTAAACACGAGCTCCAGCTCTCCCTGTGCCTCGCCAAGCTGGGCCCGGAGAGAGCAGTGATTTATGGAGCTTCCCAGACCTGCTCCCCCCCCCGGGCTGCAAGTTTAATCCAGGGCCACAAATTCAACATAAATCACTTGATTAAAAGCTCTACTTAATTTAAAGGGGGCGGGGGGTGGGCAGAGTGCAGCCGATCGATTTAATTTACACCGGGAAATAGCAACAAGCAGATGCATTTAAAAAGGCCGGGGAGGCCGGTGATGCTGCAGCTGCTTCAGCCACCTCAGCTTAACCATTTACGGGCCCTGGAGGGGCCAGCAGCCCCTCTCACCCTCTCCCTCCATGCACAGTCAGCCACCTCCCACACCACTGCCCACGCCCTGTGGGGTGCAGGGTGATCAAATATTTTTATGGGGAGTGCAGGAGCCATGGAAAACAGAATTCCCACAAAAACCAGCTGCCATCACAGCTACTCCCTGAGCATCATCTTCCCAAACTGCTGCTCGGATGAACTCGAGCACCCAGAGCCCCCACAGCCCCTCCCCATCGCCCCCCCGGGATGGGCCGTGGCTGGCGACGTCGCGGTTCAAGTCTTTAATAATTACAAGAATTCCAGATTCATTACAGAAGAGTTTACAACAAATAATATTTCTCCATACAAAGGCAAAATAAACTTTTCAAGTAACAGTGGCCTGGCTCCAGCATCTTGACACCAGCGGCAGGGAGGGAGGGCTTTAGGCGGCCCCAGGGCAATGCCAGCTCTGCCCAGGTGCCAGCTGGAGGGAGCAGAGCCCAGGCAGGAGCAGGAGCAGGAGCAGGAGCAGGAGCAGGAGCAGGAGCAGGAGCAGGAGCAGGACAGGCAGAGCTGGCAGGAGGCTGCTGCCCTGCTAAGGCACTGGCAGGCACTGCCCGGGGAGCGGGGGCTGCTGGGGGGGCACAGCGGGGCTGGCACCGAGCCCCGCGTCCCCTGCGAGTCCCCAGGGGCAGGTGATGGCCGGGCAGGGTGGCAGCCCCTCCCCAGGGCACTGTCCCCCCCCCCGAGGCCGGCCCCAGCCGTGCCCGAGCCCCGGAGGGAGCTGGGGGGACGCAGGGCCAGGCCAGGGCCAGGCACATAATGACAACAGATTCCCAAAAGGCATCGACACATTATTATTATTGTTTAATACAACCCCATATAAAACTGAAGCAGCAGCAGCAGCAATTCTTATCGAGGGACCTAAACTGAAATAGGTTTAGAACATAATTTAAAAAAATAAAAACAGCAAAAATAGCAAAATATATGAATTTTTTTTTTTTATAGCAACTGATATCTACCAGCCACTAGTACCTTCCTACCAAACTGGTATATCTCTGGTAACAACCCTTTTTAAAAAGACATGTAAATATATATTCATATTTATACATATTTTTCGTTATGTACACGGGACTCTGGGTTCAGCACAGGTGGGTTTGGTCACCTCTCAGCAGTGCAGGGCTCCTGCACCACATGTGCTGGCTGTGGCTCAGCAAAGCCCACTGGTGCTGGCCCTGGGGGGCTGCAGGACTGGCCCTGGGGCATCCTGGGCAGAGAGGGACCCCCACACCACGAGGCTCTGGGCATACGGAGGCTCCTGGCACACCAGAGAGACTCCTGGCACCCCAGTGAGGCTCCAGGCACACCCCACTGAGGCTCCTGGCACACCCCAGTGAGGCTCCTGGCACACCAGTGAGGCTCCTGGCACACCCCAGTGAGGCTCCCGACACCCCAGTGAGGCTTCTGGCACCCCAAGGCTCTCAGAATTCCAAGGTTCCCCCTTGTGCAGCCGCAGGATCCAGGTGCTGCTCCCGGCCTGGCAGGTTCTCCGTGTGCCAGCCCAGCCCCTGTGCCCCACCAGGATGTGCCACCCCAGAAGGCCTGGCCGGCTCTTTGGCCACGCACTGCCCACGGGAGAGGATTTCAGCTCAGCCAAGTGGGAATACCCAAGCACAGGATCCATGGAAAAGAGGTTTAAAAACAAAAGGAGGAAATGCCATAAAAACCCTGGAGCCGAACCCCGTGGGCTGTGGAGAGCTGGCACGAGGAGGCAGGAGAAGCTGGCAGGACGTGGCTGCTTTTGGTTACGTGAGATGCCACGGATGTCTCTGAACCCCTTCTGCAACAGCCCGGCACGAGCAGGCTGTGCAGGCAGCGTCCACGGGCACGGCACGGCGTGGCACGGCGTGGCACCCCCGGCAGTGCCACCCTCAGTGTCGCTTCAGGCCACCGTTGCTGTGCTGGGGGGGAAGCTTGGGAAGGCACGGCTCGTCCGGGAGCGGGTCGTGGGAAAAAACAGAGTCCTCCCCCGAGGAGCAGGTGGAGCTGCGGGTGTCTGGGAAGCCGGGAGAATACTGATCCAGCGGCATGGAGAGGTCCAGGTACTCCTGCCAGGGACAAACCCCAGGGACGGGCTCAGGAGCGGCCCCAGGGAGCGCCGCACCCAGGGGCCACCAGTGCCACCTCTCCTACCTGGTTGGAGGTCATGGCCACGATCCTGTCCAGGTCCTCCACCAGCTGCTTGAAGGTGGGTCTCTGGGAAGGGACGGCGTGCCAGCAATCCCTCATCATCATGTACCTGTGAGGGCAGGGGCAGGGGGGCTCAGCCCGGGGACCCCCACCCACGGCAGCGCCAGGCTGGGACCCACAGCCGACGGAGATGTTCCTCCAGGGACTGAGGGTAATCCCCTGTGTCCCACCTGCCCTCATGAGCCAGGGATGTTCGGGGAGGAGGATGGACACAGTCTGGGCTGGTCCCTGTGCTGGGGTCACCCTGGGATTCCCTCCCATCAAGGGAGATGCTCATTATTGGATCTGCCTGTCACCCTCCACACCCCAGCCCGTGTTCTGGGCCTAGCACTGGCACTCAGAGACTTCAAACCCCTCTTGCCCATCCCAGCACTGCACTCACAGCTCGTTGGTGCAGTTGCTGGGCTTGTCCATCCTGTGACCTTCCTTCAGCAGCTTGAAGAGCTCTTCAACGGGCACACCAGGGTATGGTGACCCACCCAGCGTGAAGATCTCCCACAGCAGCACCCCAAAGGACCACCTGGGAACACAGGCAGACGCTGGGGCACCGGCTCTGGGGTGCTGACACCCAGTTTGGGTACAGCTAGAGGCTGGTTTGCGGGGAGGAACAACCACCCACAGCTTTGATTCACTTTGGAGTCCCAGCACCAAACACAATTAGGATTCAAAATGTTTGGTTGGCCGACACCAATTGTAATTCCATTAATTCAAGAAGAATACCATCCATGCATCTCCCCAGCAGGCCCCACTCACACGTCACTCTGGTGGGTGTAGATTCGGTCAAAGAGAGCCTCGGGGGCCATCCACTTCACTGGCAGGCGACCCTGAGACACAAAACCCCACAGTGGCTCCATGGCTGCGAGGGAACCTGGGCCCTGCATGTGTGTGGCACTCCCAGCACAGGCTGGAGCGTCCCCACCCCTCAGAACCCCCCGCACACCACTCACGTTCGTCGTCTTCTTGTAGTAATCGATGTGGTGGATGTCGCGGGCCAGCCCGAAGTCAGCGATCTTCATCACGTTGTCCTCTGTCACCAGCACGTTCCTGGCTGCCAAGTCCCTGTGGATGCACTGCCCAAGCACGGGGCTGTCAGCCCACGGCCCCGGAGGGTTCCCCACGACGGGACGGGTGGCAGGGGAGGGTGCACGCCCCAGGCCCGGCTGCTGGGCTCCCCGTCCCACCACAGCCTCCTGGCAGCTCCTCACCTTCTTGGAGGCCAGGTACTCCATGCCCCTTGCCACCTGGTAGGCACAGGAGACCAGGTCCTTGAAGGAGAGCTGCTCCTCGGGGACGCGGCTGGGGTTGTAGCAGTACTCCATGCCCGGGGGCCGCCGTGCCTGCAGGTACTCCCGCAGGTTGCCCTTGCTGGCGTATTCCACGATCACATAGAGGGGTCCTGAGGGGACGGGCTGGTGAGGGGCTGGAACACGCAGCAGGGTGCCAGGCCAGCCCCTCCAGGGGACAGCAGCTGGAGGGGTGGCACAGGGGACGCCTCTTCCCCGCCATGCACCCTCACCGTCCTGCGTGCAGGCTCCCAGCAGGTTGATGATGTTCTTGTGCTTGCCAATCATCTTCATCATCTCCATCTCAGAGATGAGGTCAGACAAATCCTTCTCTGTGGCATCGGCTGAAGTGGAGAAGGCAGTTAGGGGGTGTGCCAGGCCGGGCTGCACACCCCAGACCCCAGCCAGGGCTGCGGCATCATGCCAGGACCAGCCTTCTTGCCGCCACTTACACTTAAGCATCTTCACGGCCACCTTGGTCACACGGTTGGGCTTGTCCTTGTCAAGGCCGATGGCTTCTGCCAGCACCACCTGGCCGAAGCACCCTTCTCCCAGAGGCTTGCCCAGGATCAGCCTGGTGGGAGAAGACCCCGAGGCAGGGGCAGCAGGTTGGTCCCAGCATCGGCAGCACGCTCCTCAGCCAGCTCCCAGCGGGGGCAGAGCGCAGGGCTGGAGCTCACCTGTCCCGGGGCAGCTCCCAGCGCGGGTCCTCGGGCAGCTCGTACTCGGAGACGCCGGCCAGCATGGGGGTGCCGCTGGAGGAGAGGCGCGAGGGCCGCACCAGCATCACGCCCGAGTTCATGGAGGAGCTGGAGTCAGCCGACACCTGCAGCGGGACCGTGGGTTACCTTCACGCAGTGCCCGGGCCCGCAGTGCCTGTCCCCGGGGGGAGGTGGTGATGGGAGCCTTCGCACCCTCCCCTGCCCGCAGCCCCCTGCCCGCAGCCTCCTGCAGCCCCCTGCAGCCTCCTGCCTGCAGCCCCCTGCCTGCAGCCCCCTGCCCGCAGCCCCCTGCAGCCTCCTGCCTGCAGCCCCCTGCCCACAGCCCCCTGCCTGTGTGCCTGCCACTGCTGCTCCCTTCCACAGATTTTTCCATTAGTCTCCATCGTGCTGCAGCCCAAAACGCACAGCCTGGGAGCTCCTCCATCTCCTCAGAGTGCACCACGCTCCGCTCAAACCTCACACTTGTAAATCCTGCTGGTTCTCCTCGTGAGCCCCCAGGGGAGGGGTGAGGGGAGCTGTGCAGCCCCCACCCTGCTCACCGTGCTGCCATCGGAGGCACAGCCTGCACAGTCCCACCCCTGCCACCGGCGGGCACAGGCTGGAGCGGGTGGCACACGGAGCAGGGTGAGACCATCCTGGGTCCTGCCACCCCTCCTCCCCCACATCCCCTCGGAAAGGCTGGGCTCCAGGAGAGGCAGTAGGTGCAAACAAACCCCCTCTCTACTTTCTGTTACCTGTCTGCGCAGGGGGATGCTCTTGGCCAGCTTGTGCACGGCCAGCTGGCTGTTGAAGTCTGTCTTCTTGGTGGTGCTCTTCAGCTTGTAGATGATGATGGTCACCACCATGCAGGAGATGAGGAAGGCTCCGATGCAGTAGATGATGATCTCCAGGTAGAAAGGAGACGTCATCATGGCTGGGGTGTCTTCAATAGCTGGGTTGGCGTGAACAGGGTGTTTGTCAGCACCTGCCAGGCCCCAGGGAGTGGCACTGGGGAGCCCTCGGCTCCTCCCCAAGCTCAGTGGGGACGTCGGTGCAGCAGGGACCGGCAGCTGCCCACCCACCCTTGCAGGGAAGGCGTGCAAGCAGCCCCAGCTCATCATCCCCATGGCCAAGCAATGCCTTCGCCACCTCTGCAGGCGGTGGGATGGGTCATCCCAGGGTGGGATGGGGTCAACTGGGACAGGCATGAAATGGGGGAACAGGGCCCGAGCCACCCCACAGGGATGCAGCACCTCTGGGAACAGGTTTCTGTCCCAGCTGAAGTGCTCTGCCCCTGCTTTGGAGCTGCAGGTGCCTCAGAATCTGGGCTGCCCTGTGCACGGTGCAATGGAATGGGGGCTCTGGCAGCGGCTGGGGCTGTGGGACTCCAGGCCTTACTGGTAATGACTGGGGAGAGCCTGGAGCAGAGCAGCCAGCGGCACTCCAGTGTCAATGACCTGCCTGAGCTGGTGGGGAGAAGGGACCCACAGACCCTGCTTTGGTGGCTGAGGTGGCGCTGGAACCACGATCGGCTCAGAGCCTGCAGCCACGTGCCGCGGTCCGTGGTGAATCCGGCAGGACGGGGCTGCCACTTCACCTTCTGCACCCCCAGCCTGACACCCCCAAAGAGCAGAGCCTCAGAGAGAGGTGTAAGAGGGAGCTGAAGATTCCTGTCCCACCTCTGAGCACACCCGGCTGACAAAGCACTGGCTGATAACTGGGAAAGTTTTAGCTGGAAAGCAAAAACGACCACACAGCACCCCAAAAACTTTCCCATAGCTGTTATCAGGCTTTGGTCCACGCACTGATGCTGAGGAGCAGCATCACGGGGACGGGGCAGCCATCCCCACAGTGCAAGCACACACAGCCCCCGACAGCCCTGCACCACAGGGCCAGGCCCTGGCAGGCAGGAGGGCAGCGCTGCCAGCACCCCCAAACCTCCCCTGCTGCCCCTGAGCAGGCAGCGCTGGCCTGGCCTGGCCCAGCCGTGCGGGACCGTCCTGCTCCCGTGGAACAAGCCCTGGTTAAGTTCCCCAGGTATGCATTGCCTGGGCCAGGGAGAGAGCGGGGGCAGACCCCAGCTGGGGTGGAGGGGGGCACAGAGCCGGGGGGACGCTGCCCCACAGCAGCCAGGCTGACCCGCTCCAAGGGGGCTGGGAACTGCTCTCTCCCGGACCACGATGCATACATCGGAAAGGAAGGAAGAAAGGGAGAGGAAGAGGAGTATATACCTTCGAGAACTGTCAACCATGCAGAGTGATGGGAGATCCCAATAGAATTACCCGCCAAACATGTATACTCCCCAGCATCCTCAAATGAGACATTCCTTAAGTGAAGGACTTCCATTTCTTTGTCTGTCGTGTTAACGCCAGCCGTCTGGAAGGAAAAATGGAAGCAAAAAACGGAGAAGCAAACGACATGAGATCTTCTGGGAGGAGGCCAGAGAGGAGGGAGAGCCCAGTCTCATTTGGCAGACCCCCGGGGAGCAGACAGAGACCACTGCAGACCTGCTAGAGAGACCCTCGGGATGACCACTCATCCCGGTGGACCGAGGGAGATGCCGGTTAAAACCCTTCACCAAACGGAGCGTCCTGCCCATGCCAACATGCTGGCGATGGGCTGCATGGAGAAATCAGCCCGGGCAGAGCCGGCCCGCTGGCTCGCTGGCAGGGGAGGCACAAGGACAGGGATGGGAGGATGGAGACACAAGGATGGAGATGAGAGAATGGGGATGGGAGGACAGAGACAGGACGGAGACGAGAGGATGGCGACAGGAGGACGGAGACGGGAGGGCAGCACAGACAGGGAACGCAGCACCGTGCCGGCTGGGGTGCCTGGAATGGCCTGATGGCAGCACCCTCAGACAGCCAGGGGCCAGGCCCAGCTGCGGTGTCTGCACGATGGGGAGGGCACAGGACAGAGACATCAGCACACGGTGGAGACACTGGGACACACACACAGAGCGCAGCGCCCTGCCGGCCCCGCCGGGTGTTTTTCCATGGTTGTTGCACCAGAAACACAGCAGAAACAAGAGAGCCCAGAGTTTTGTTTTCCACCGCCAGGCATTCTTCCGATTACCTGTGGCCAGGGGCCTGGTGACTGTGAGCCACGCAGACTGGTTGGCCTCGCCAATATAATTGGAAACCTTACAAACATACTCCCCGCTCTCCGCCTCTGTCACATTATACAGGGTCAGCACCTCCGCATCAGAGCTATTAATCCCCGAGTGCTGGAACAGACCAACAACAGGGAGTCACACGGATGTGCTCAGGAACCGCCCCGAGGGCGCCCTGCCAGGCAGGGGCTGCTCCCCCACACCCACAGCTGGGATTCAGGAGAAGGAGCAGACAGGAATGGGGGTGTCACCCTGCTCCCCCCTGCTTCCCAGAGGTCAGGAGCACAGCTGGGAATGGCTGCATGGAATCACAGAACGGGTTGGAAGGGATCTTTACAGGCCACCCAGTCTGACCTCCTGCCACAGCTGGGCCAGTGCTGAGTGGCACTGCTGGGGTGCAGAGGGAGCTGCTCTCCCTGGGATGATCCAGGGCTCCCAGCTCCAGCACCGTGCTCCTGCCCAGCCCTGTGCTGTGTGCCCCTGGGGCTCCCACGGGGCTGCAGAGCCAGCACACAGCGTGGCATGACAGCCCTCCCTGCTCCCTGCCCAGCAGGCTGCTGATGGCTCTGGGGCTCCAGCTGCCCCAAGGCCGGCGGTCCCCAGCCCCAGGTAACTCTTGTGGCTGCCAGTGCCCTGCTCCTGCCCCTGGCACAGGGAAGCTGGGGGCCATGGCTGGCACCAGCCAGCGTGTGGCTTTACCTTCAGGATCTGCACGTAGGGCAGGTTGTCGGGGCCGATCTTGCTGCCGTTCACCTCAATGTGCTTCAGCCACTGGATATGGGGCTGAGGGTCGCTGTAGACCTTGCAGACGAACTCCACGTTGCTGCCCAGGGCCACTGTCTTGTTGGCAGGCAGCCCTGCCTGCAGGATGGGCCGGTGCGGGGACCGCTCTGCAGGACCGGAGATGGGGCACCTTACAATGGGGTTAGGGGTGCCCTGCTGGGGTTTGGGGCACCTTACAATGGGGTTAGGGGTGCCCTGCTGGGGTTTGGGGCACCTTACAATGGGGTTAGGGGTGCCCTGCTGGGGTTTGGGGCACCTTACAATGGGGTTAGGGGTGCCCTGCTGGGGTTTGGGGCACCTTACAATGGGGTTAGGGGTGCCCTGCTGGGGTTTGGGGCACCTTACAATGGGGTTAGGGGTGCCCTGCTGGGGTTTGGGGCACCTTACAATGGGGTTAGGGGTGCCCTGCTGGGGTTTGGGGCACCTTACAATGGGGTTAGGGGTGCCCTGCTGGGGTTTGGGGTGCCCTGCTGCCCACCCTCGGGTGCACTGCAGCCCTCCATGCCCAGGATCCCCGCCTGAGGTGGGCACCAATGCACCCAATGCAACATTAGTGTCCCCCAGGACCCGGCCTGCAGTGGGGTGAAGGCATCCAGGATGGGGGACAGGTGGAACCCCAGTGTGGGGACAGGGACATCAGCACCTATCAGGCAGGGCCAGAGGTCAAACAAACCTGTGCAGGGCCCTGGCCGTTAACAAAGTGGCTGCCACTCTGGTGAGTCAGCATTAACAAACCCCTTTGTTCACCTCGCTGACTGTTCCCTTCAGTTTGCTCAGTGTAATCAAATTAAATCACATTTTTAATGGTTCATTTACTGGCATTTAGAGCAGCTCCACATGTGGAACTGCTCAGACCAGCCTTCCCAGCTGGGAATTATGGCTAATAAGGCGATTAGAAAAAGTTTCTGTCTGGTCTATGAAATTATCTTCACCACAATTAAAAATCCCCAGGACAGGGTGGGGTGAACTTTCCGCCTGGCTGGCTGCTGCCCGCCGTGCTGCACACCGGGTGAGCCCCTTCCCTGGGAGCACAACCCAGCAGCCATTCCTGCCTGGGGAGGCAGAGGGGGACAGAGGAGCCCCAGCGCTGTGCTGCTCACCCACGACATCCAGCTGGTAGGTGTGGTTGATGCTGCCGTACTTGTTCTCCACAATGCAGGTGTAGTTGCCCTTATCGGACGGCACCACCGAGTCCATGATGATGCTCCAGGTCGCCTGGCGGACCTGGGGGCACGGGGAGGACAGAGCCGGTTACAGGAGAGCCCCCAGGTCCCGCTCATGTCGGAGCTGGTTTGACCCCTGGCACAGGGAGGACGTAAATCTCTCTTTGAGATTTTCTCCTTCCCTACAGAGGGGCTGTAATTGCTGCCAGCTGTCCCAGGACAGCCCGGCCACGGAGCCAACTGTGCCGAGCAGCAGATGTTGCCAGCTCCCCTGCGGCGTGGGGACACCCCTCTCTGCTGGCCCACGTGTGTGGAGGGAACAGACCAGCATTGTTCCTCCTGCAGGAGCCTGGGGCTCAGAGCTGCAGCGCTCCCCACGGACAGCTGGCCCTGTGCTGCTGCCCCAGTGCATCTCCTCTGGGAGAGTCTCAGTGGCTCTGCTGGGAAGAGCACTGCCCAGGTCCCTCTGGCCACGGGGCACCAGGAGGCTCTCCAAAAGCCAGCCCTGCCACTGCTGGCTCCAGCTGGGGCTCCTCATGGCCAACCCTCCTGGAGCCCTGCTCATGATCGCATTCCTCCCTCCCAGCTGGAAACTGGTTATTTCCACAGTCCTGCATTTCAGCCCCACTGGCTACCCAGGGCCCTGTGCTGTCACCAGCAGCCACAGCGCTGCCAGCAGCCCCTCTCCTCCCCACCCCCGAGCCCACGTCCTGGGCGAGCCTGTGTCCCTCCCCAGGACACAGAGCACAGAGCTGGAAGCTGTGACGTGGATCCCTGCTGCTGCCCCTGAGCCCTGGCAGGAGCCCTGGCATGCAGGGCCACGGCTGGAGCTGCCTGTGACACGTGGCATGTGACTCAGTGGTGATGGTGGCCCCACAGCCCCCCAGCCGGGCTGGTTCAGGGCTCCCAGCCTGGGAGACACGGAGGGCTCTGAGCCCCAGGCAGGCTGCAGCCCTGCTCCTGACAACCGAGAGATGCCAAAAGGGGACAGTGCTGCCTCGTAGCTGCCAGCAGGACAGCAGCTCTGGCCAGCCCCTCCCTTGGGGAGAAAAGGAACTCAAGGATGCTGCCCTGGAGCTGTGAGGAGGGGAAAGCCAAGCTGCCATCACACCCAGTGGCATCTACAGCATGGCTCTGCTGTGAGCACTAGGAAAGCAGCACCGAGCTCCTCCCCAGCTCAGGGAGCCAGTGTGGCCCCCAAATACGGGCTGGAGTACCCCACGGGCTGGAGCAGCCCCCACCAAACACTGCTGGGAGCCCAGGGCCCCTGGGGATGCCCAGACCCCTCTCCTTGCCTGGGGGATTAGGCGGAGGTGTGGAGCCAGGCTGGCTGCAGCACAAGCCCCCTCCCCCAGGGCTGAGCTGGTACAAACATGACCCAGAAGCAGCTCACTGCCCTAGGGCGACTCCCAAACAGCAATGTCAGAGGGGCCCATCTGCCCCTGCTGGGCTGGCCTGGATGGGCCTTGGTGCCTCTGGAGCCTCGGAGCCCCTTCCCAGTCCTCCCCCCCAGGAGCCCCCAGCCCTGGAGGTGCACAGAGCCAGGGGCTGCTCCCCAGCCCCGTACCTTGTACCCCCCAATGCGGTGGTCAGGTTTGAACTCTTTGCCGTTCTTCAGCCAGCGCAGTGTGGGGTTGGGTGTCCCGCTCGATGGACACTTGAATTTCACTGTTTTGGCAGCGGGGACAGCGTGGAGCTTCTTCTCCATCTTCTCGGGATAGGTCCAGTAGGGAGCGATGGCCTCTGGGGAGCAGAAGGAGGGCTCAGCACTGCCAAACCCAGCAGCCTCCTGCTCCTGGAGTAACCCCAAGGATTCCCAGAGCAGGGCTGGGACAGGAATCAGAAGCCAGCAGCCAAGCCTGGCTAAAGCAGGGAGGGATCCTGGGACAGGGCTGGGACACGGGGCATTGCCCACGAGTCACAGCAGCCCTTTCTGCGTGGGGTGGATGCTCAGCTCGTGACCCCAACGCAGCAAACCCCGTGCTCTGACCCAGCTGCTGCACCCCCTGCACCCAGACCCGCTCTCCCCACTGCACCCCTGCCGCTGCCAGGTGCCCTGGGCTCCTGCCCCATCCTGATGCTCACGGGTGCCCAGCCCGCCCCTGCCTGGCCACGGGGCAGCGCCGTGGGCAAAGCCAGCTCGCACGTACGGTTCGGTTTGGTGTTATCCGCCTCCTTCTCCTCCGACGAGGAATCATCTTCATCGTCATCATCCTCTGCCGAGGGGAGAGCGTCTGCAAGAGAGGCAGCGGCCCTGCTGAGTGTCTGTGGGAGTGCACTCCCGTGGCTGGCGAGGCCTGGAGCGTCAGGGGTGGCTGCTGGGGGCTGTGCCCAGCGAGGCGGGAGGGCAGGGCGGTGCTGATGCCCGGCAGGAACGTGGGCAGGGAAATGCTCTGCACGATCCCCAGCGCAGCCAGGGCTGGCAGAGCCCAGCATCCCGTGCCTGCAGCCTCGGGCATCGTGAAGAGACGCGCTGTCACAGGTGAGAGCTCCTCTCCCCGTGTCCGGTGCCACCAACACCCTCGGGGTGGCAGTGAAGACCCCATGAGCACAGACACGTCCCCACCTCGAGCCTTCCTCCCTCTCCAGCCTTACACTCCATCAACAGCGATGCTGAGCACGTCTCCCCCCCAGCACGTGCCCCTCCCGCAGCCCCCTGCCCCCTCAGATCAGCGTGAGATGAATTCCGGCTGCTTCTCCCTGCACTGCAGCAGCAAGGAAGCCACAGCACCACCCTGGAAACTCCTCTGGCCACCTGCAAGCTGCAGGTGGGCCCCAAACTCACCACGTGTGGCCAGTGTGTGTGCAGGGGTGTGCAGATGTGTGCAGATGTGTACAGGTGTGTACAGATGTGTGCAGATGTGTGCAGATGTGTGCAGGGGTGTGCAGGAGTGTACAGAGGTGTACAGATGTGTGCAGGGGTGTGCAGGGGTGTGCAGATGTGTGCAGATGTGTGCAGAGGTGTACAGATGTGTGCAGAGGTGTGCAGATGTGTGCAGATGTGTGCAGATGTGTACAGATGTGTACAGGTGTGTACAGATGTGTGCAGATGTGTACAGATGTGTGCAGGGCTGTGCAGAGGTGTACAGAGGTGTACAGATGTGTGCAGGGGTGTGCAGGAGTGTACAGATGTGTACAGATGTGTACAGAGGTGTACAGAGGTGTGCAGGAGTGTACAGATGTGTACAGATGTGTGCAGGAGTGTACAGAGGTGTACAGATGTGTACAGATGTGTACAGATGTGTGCAGGGCTGTGCAGATGTGTACAGATGTGTGCAGAGGTGTGCAGAGGTGTACAGATGTGTGCAGAGGTGTGCAGGGGTGTGCAGGGGTGTGCAGATGTGTACAGATGTGTGCAGGGGTGTGCAGAGGTGTGCAGGAGTGTACAGAGGTGTACAGATGTGTGCAGAGGTGTACAGATGTGTACAGATGTGTGCAGGGGCACACTGCTCCTGGCTTCACAGCCCGGCCCCGCGGCTGCCCCTTCCCTGCGCGGCCGGGGCCGCTACGAACCTGAGATGTTCACAGAGAAGTAGGTGGTCTCGCTGCCCGAGGGGCTGTTGGTCATGCAGGCGTAGAGCCCCGAGTCCTCGGGCACCACGTCCCTGACCTCTACCTCGTCCCCAGTGATGCGTGTGCGGTTGTTCTCGGCCAGCTGGATGCCATCGCGCACCCAGTTGATGCTCTGGACGTCGTCCCGCAGCCGGCAGCGCAGCTGGAGCAGCTCACCGGGGTGGGCTGAGTACGACTCCACTTCAATTTTTGCTTTGGCCAGAGCTGGAGGAGTTAGGGGAGAGAAGAAGAGAAAAAAAAGGAGAAAAGGAAAGAAAAACCATGCTGCTGCTGCTGCTGCTGCTGCTGCTGCTGCTGCTGCGGCCTGGTTAATGAGGGAACATGCGCTGCTGGGATGCTCCCGCTGCGGCACCGGGGACCCCAGCACCCCGGGGATGGAGCCTGCGGCAGCAGCAGGGCACAGCAGAGGCAGAGGCAGAGGCTGCAAGCATCCCAAGCAGCACCAAGTGCTTCCCTCCACAGCAGCACCTGCTCCGTGCCTCACCCTCCTCGGCTCTTATGGAGCGTGACAGGGCAAGGGTGGCAGGACGGGGGAGAAACAGGCAAGCTGTGACAGCTCAGGGCTGCTGTATGGCAGGACCCAGCCTCTCCCAGAAGCATCCCGAATCCCTGCATGGCTCTGCCACCTCGCAGGGGTCTCAGGATCCTCACCACCACAAGCGGGCAGCCAGCAAAGCAGGCCAGGGCGCCCATGGCACCAGGACCCCCACCCTGGTTAGAGCACGGCGCTGCAGGGATGAAAGGGCAGGGGCTGGGGCTGAGCTGAGGCAGGACAGCAGGCAGGGAGCGAGGTCAGCCCAGGGAGCTCTGGCCAGACAGGTGCTGGCCACGGCGTTCCCATCCGCAGCGTTCCCACGCAGGGGAGCCGAGCTCCCCGAGGTGACACTTGTGTGAGCAGCACAAAGATCCTTTCTCTCCGTCCTGCTGTGACATGATCTCATCTCTCCCAGCCCTGAAGTGTCCAGGGCTCTGTCCTCAAGTCCTGCCCTCCACGGTGGGTGGTGCATGAGCAGCTTTCCTGCTCCCAGGCTTGGGGAAGATGCTGGGTTTCAAATCACCTCTTCAAATTCCACAGCCCAAGGAAGGGTCCAGGCTGCTACAGCTCTGCAGAGCCTCACTGTGATGATGTGGCTGGACACAGTGTGATCTTCATCCTAGACTGTGCTCTACAGGCTGGTGGGCATGGCTCCAGAGCCCAAATCTTCAGGCACCCCTTGACCTCTGTCTCCTCCCTGATAACGTGTGTCCGGGTGTTCTTGGCCAGCTGGATGCCATCGGGATGCTGTGGGAGCAGCACGGAGGGGCACAGGGCACTGCTGCAGATGCTGCTCTCAGGGGCAAGAGATTGGGCTGGAAAAATCCCATTAAACTCAGCAGAAACAGCCAGGAGATGTTCAAGCTTCAGCTGATCCGTAGGTCGAGGGCTGAGCCCCCCAGGATTTCTGGGTGCCCAATGAGCCAGACAAGAACAACCTCTTCTCCTCCTTCTGCACACGAGCCCTGAACAGCACAGAGCAGCTCACCCTGGGCCAGCGGCTACAGAGTGGCACAGGGTCTCTGCTGGCACAAAACGCCCCAGAGAGCAGCCAGGGTGTGCAGGCAGCGCAGGGCCAGGACAGGCAGCGAGGCCTCGCTCCTCCCTGCTCCTCCCTGCACCCAGCAGCCACTCTGTACGGCCAAAAATGAAACCTTGGCTCTCCAGAACTCTGCTTCACCGCACTGTGACCTGCACTTCACTCTCTGGCCACTTTTCTTTGCCTTGGAATAATGAGAAGCTTCATGGAAAAAACATTCATGAGCAGCTCCAGAGTTTCTGCTCTTTCTTTTGCTCAGCACTTGAAGGAAAACAGTAGGATGGGGAAGAATTCTCTTTCCTCAGTTGCTGTAATACCAACGCCAGGGCTCCAGTTCATCCATGAGAGGTTACAAAACTTTTTAATGTGGAAGGGCAAGACTAATGGGAGTTCCTCTGGTGGTGGGGAAGGGTCTTGCTTTGCAATCCTGTTTTCCCCTGATTTTCTCCCACAGGATGGGCACTTCTCACAGCTCTGATTTGTGTTTCAAGTGATTAGTCACAGGCATCGCCAAAGGCTCACAAAGCAGCAGTGACATCCCATCCTGTCCGTCTGAACACGCTGGGTCTGGGTAACGCCACATCCTCCTGCCTGTCCCGACTGCCTCCTCACACACAGCAGGGCCAGTGGGCAACAAACAGCCCTGAAAACCCGAGCCAGCCACGTCTGCTCTAACCTGGCTCCCAGCTCTGCCCCTTCCCACACATCAGCAAACTTCCCTATGGAACAGGAAAACCCCGCAGGGCTCCCCAGCACCCCGCACCGTGGAATGTGAGGAGGTAGCCTGGGGATGGAAAAGGTCTTTGGCAGAGGGGAAATTTCAGGGCACCCCAGCCTGATGCCAGGGCTTGAGGAAGCAGTATTCCAGGTTCAGGAGGGTCCTTCCCAATGGCCACAAGTCCTTGGGTATGCTGTGCAAGTGCTTCTGCCTCTTCAGAGCCTTGGGCGTGGGGCCAGACTCCTTTCCAAAGCTTCCAGCGCCCTCCTCCAGCCCCACAGCAGAGCCTCCTGGCTGGCTGCTCCCTTCGGCGAGCCAGACCCACATGGGCCACCTCTCCAAAGGTTAATCAGCCAGAAAAATGCTTGGCTCTCATCCCTGAGGCTCTGGGTGCTCCGGGCACCGCTCAAAGGTCGGTTAGCGGAGTCCTCAGCTCAGCTGGGTGCTGTGGGAATGGTCACAGCCTCTTTGAGCAAACAGGGTGACAGGGTGAGAGCACAGGAACAACAGCCCCACGGGCCTTGTCCCATCGCAGGGGACAGGAGGGTTCGTGCCCACGGGGTTCCCAGTGAGGCAAGGGGCAGCTCCAGCCCGTGCTGGCTCCACGAGCAGCGCAGAAGCCGCGCGGTGCCACGGCAGCCGCCGGGGGTTTATTGCTTGATTCCAGCTTTGAAATGGAACCGAGGGCAGAGCTGAGCACAGCCAGATTAGAGAGCATCACCAAACGCCTGTAAGTGTCACCGGCTCCCCCGGGACAGGGACGTGGGGCAGCCCTGCGGACAGGAGCTGTGCTGTTCACCGTGCCCCCCAGGCTGGGCACACACAGCGGGGAGCCCGGGCTGCACCCTCCGAGCGGCAAAAGCCACGGGCTGTGCTGGCCAGGGCGATGGTGACGATGGCCATAAAGGGGCCAACAAAGCGGCACGGGGACAATGCGGGCGGGGGGCGCGGAGCCGCAGGCGCCGGTTGCCCTGGAGACCCCAGCGGGGCTTTCCGAAGGTATTTCCTGAAGAAAAGCACACACATGCCCGGCAGCCCCACTAATCCCAACAGGAAGCGCTCATCGGGACGTGCGGATTGGCTTCTTTTTGATTTCGAAAGCTCCTCACCCTGCCGTGTCCCCGTCCCGGGGGGCGACATCCCGGCCCCGCAGCCACCCCCAGAGCCCGCACGCCCCGATCGCCTGCTCCTGGACAGGCTGCCGCGGGGAGATGCCAACACGAGCATCACGGGCTCAAAGCACACGCGGCTGGCTCTTGGAGTGCACCCCCAGCTCCTCCTGCCCGAGCCAGCCCGGGGGGCTGCGGATGCTCCACGCCCCCCGGTCCCCGGAGGGTTCCTCCGCAGGGAGAAGGGGATTTATGTCCCGCTCCAGGCCCTCCTGCTCTCCCAGCCTGCACTGCAAATAAAGCAGCACTTAATTAACAGGCGCGTTGGGAGTTTGCAAAGCTGTCGGGATGAAGCCAGCCCTTTCCCCCGCCGGGCTCGGAGCTCCGCAGCCGCTCGGAGCCCCGGAGGCAGCGGCTCGGGGCACAGACATCCTTCCATCGGCTCCCACTGGCCATGGCACAGACCGGGGCCACGGGAGAACGCCCCACCCGCAGTTTTTGGCTGGCTTAGCCTGGTCCTGGCTCAGTGCCGGAACTCAGTGGCCGTTCCCCTCCTCTCCTCCCTCCCACACAGCCCCAGCCCGGGGGGCTCCACACCCGGCAGCCGCAGACACTCGGGGACCCTTCTGCTCCCCCCGGCATGGCTCCGCTCCCCCTGCGACAGCTCCTCAGCCCAGGCTCTGGCTGCTTTTCCCAAAGACTCGTATTTCTTTTTTCCTCCTCAATTAAGGGCCAGAGTGACAGCATCCGAGTGGAGAGGCGGGAGGACGGGACAATGAGGACTGCGATGGCCCGGAGGACACGGCCACGCCTCGGGACTGGGCAGCTGCAGCCCTGGGGTCTGGCTGGGCCCCCTGAGCTCCGGGAGCACTCCTGGGCTGCTGCCATCCACAGCACAAGGGCAGGAGCTGCAGCCTTGGCAGGGAATCCCCGGCTGCTTGCGGGGCTCCAGCAAGGAGTCAGCTACACCAACCGGGATCCCTGGGGATCCCCTGGGGCTCCCCGAGAGGCTGCGAGACATCTCGAGCTGCGAAAACAAGGAGGGACAGCGGGGAAATGGGGAGGGGGACGGAGCCGAGGGTCAGCAGTGCCCTGGGGAGCAGTGGGGACAAGCTGAAGAACCTGGTGGTGCTGCCCGTGGGGAGGCTGGGCTCCCCCAACCTCCCTGGGCTGAGCACATTGCCTGCCCCGGCCCTCCAGCTCCTGTAGGTCCAGAGCAAGACCCCCTGAAGGAGCTGGGGACAACAAAGCCCCGGGAGCCAGGGCCCCTGCTGGCCCCGCAGATGGCCGGGGGGGTTAAGCCTGTGGCCAGCTGGGCAGCCCTGGGAAATGGGGCAGCCCTTGGGCCCTGCCCCATGGGGAGGGGGCTGCAGCCAAATCCCCCCTGCTTTGCAGTGCAGATGCACCCCCGGGCAAGTATCCCCTGCGCTGGGGCAGTCTGGGGCTCAGGGTGTCCCAAAAACAGCTGCCCAAGGCAGGACCCCCCTGCCCCAGGACACGGCTCCCCACAAAAATCTGCTCGGCCACTTGGCACCGCCTGCAGGGCCATGGCAGCCCCCTGTCAGGAGATGCCTGAGCAGCGGCTGGGACAATGGCAGACAAGGAGAGAGGGAAAAAAAACCTTGGCAATTTTCTGCAGGTTTCTATTTAACCTGGAGACAAAGAGCGGCTTTGTGCAAGGGAGGGACAGAGGCTGCGCATGGAAATTTCTTGGTTTTTCCCCTTAACCAGGGTTTTTTCACCACCTCCAAATTTAGGTAACTGTAAAACACAGTAAGTGCCTGTTAATATTTTATTTGCTCCAGATTTTTGGTACTGGGAGGGAGCCCCTGACAAAGCAGAGCTCCCAAACTCCCTCCCACACCACAAGGAGAGGGGGGCCAGAGCTGAACCTCCCTCCGCATGAGGCCGGGCCGCTGACCGGCCGCGGGGGATTACTCCTCCCTGAGAAGGGAGCTTAGCTGCCTCAGAACCGGGAGTAAACTGAAACCCCATAAACAGCCAGAACAAAGTCTGGGAAAGCTGCTGCCTCCACCACAGAGGGGACTGAGTGTGGCCCCCAAGGTGATGGGGGGATGCTCCTGGGTCACGGTGCTATGGAGGAAGGACAGAGACCTTGGCCCCCAGGACACAGTGGCCCTGAGCACGGGAGCCAAACCCCATCCGCACCCCATGGCACCCCAAAACCCCTGGGCCTGGGTCAGAGCCTGCCCCTGAGAGGTGCTGGTGGCTCAGCCCTGGCTGCAGGTCCTGGCCCAGCACTGGCTCTTCCCATCACACACGTCCTGCTGGGAACATTTTGTTCCCACCAGTCGGCTCCCGAGCCAAGGGACGGATTCCGCCCCAGCCGGGCTCCTGCTGTGGCACTAATTGGGCCGCCCTGGTGAGAACCGTGTCGGGAAACGTTTCCAGAGGTTATTGTTAGCCCTGGCATGAGGCTGGCGAGGAACCAGCTCCCTCCTCTCCAACCTCTCCTCCTCCACTGCCACGCCTGACGCTGCTCCCAGACCCTCCAGGGGCTTCAGGGCTCCTCACGCACCCCAAAATTCACCTGTGCTCAACCACCTCCCCTCAGCCCGAACACCCCAACTTTTCTCAGTGCCACAGCCAGGGCTGGGGCTGCAGGTGGTGCTCTCCTGGCAGCACAGAGCCATCCTTTCCCCAGACACTGCCAGGAAACCTCTTCCAGGAAGAGCAATCTCCTGAGAAAAACATGTTTACTGCTGTCAACCGCATTGTTTACAGATGCGGGGAGCAGGCATGCCAGTGGAAAAATCTCAGCAATGGTCCCTGTGAGCGAAGCTCTGCCCGCGCTCCTCTCCGGAGCTGCAGCTCCCCAGGGACCACACGTGGCCCCGGCTGTCTCCTGGGGTGTCACCTCACAGGTGTGACCTGTGACCAGGGTACCTGCTGCAGCCAGAGGGGCCATCCCTGGCAGCCAGCGGCATCACCCAGGCTCTCGCAGCCAGGCTGCAGCAGGGCTCACTCCGCGATTCCCCCGAGGGAACCCCGGGGCACCGCGCAGCGCCGTGCCCGTGCCGGCCACACCGGCACTCTGCCTCTCAGGGTTCTGCTGGGAGGAAGGGGGAAGGGGGAGCGAGTCTTAAAAAGCAAAGCAGTGCCCACAGACCAGACATTCTTGGGTAATTAGAACCAAAAGGAGCGAGTGGAAGTCCCGCGCGACGCTGCTGGGTCTGGTTATTCTCTGCCTCGCCGAGGGCCGAGGCTCTGACGTGCCGGAGCAGGGCTCTCTGCCAGAGCCGGCTCTGCCCAGGGCCGGGCGACCCACTTGGCCCATCCCTGAGCCTTGGGGTGCCCCCACTCCAGAGCTGAGGCAGGAGCACCCCTGGCCACTGCCAGCAGCCCTGCTGCTGGGACACAGCAGCGATAACAAGGGGGGATGTCCTGCTCAGGGGCTGCGCTCCCCAGGCCCAGTGGAGCAGAGATTTGGAGTGCACGAATCACCTGAGCTAGCTCTGGCTTTGGGACTCCCAGCTGGGGGCAACACTGGAGCATCCCGAGAGCTTCTGAGGGGTGCATTCATCCCTAGCACCGCCAGCTGGCAAAAGCTGAACCAGGACCCTGCACCCAAACCTCCATCGCCCCTGGCTGAGCCCAGGATCACCCCAGAGGGGCCAAGTCCAGGGGTTGCAGCCTCACACACATCCCAGATTACAGATTGTCACACGGGCGCAAGTGCCATCACATGGAGCGACTCCAGAGGGGGACACAGCCCCCAGGGCTCCTTATCTTCCTCCAAACCCTCCAAACCAACACATCAGGGTTTGCCACGATTTTTCTCCAGGTTTCCAACGTCCCCAGGCACTGCTGGAGCCGCATACCCCCTTTTGTGCCCACACACACCACCCTGGGGACAACAGGTGCCGTGTCCCGAGGCACCAGCTCGCAGGCTGACACCTCCGGTGGCACTGGGGACGTGCCGGCGGCCCCACAGCTGGAGCACACACCAGTCTCTGCCTCTGCTGCAGGGAAGAGCAGCTCGTGTTGCCCGAGAGGAACGCAAAGGACGAGGGAGCGGCTGCTCTTACCTTGGTCGGGCAGGGTGGGGGCCGGCCGGGCGGCGGAGAGCGCGGCTGCGACCAGCACAGCCCAAAGGATGAGGCACCGCCAGGTAAACATCCCACTGCTGCGGCTACTGCTCGGCAACTGGGCTCCACAACTCCCACTCCATGGGGGCCCCGGGCTGGCCCCGGTCTCCGCAGGGCTCTCAGCCCCTACAAGCTGTGGAGGAGGAAAGCAGAGTCAGGGCAGGGCCAGCTCCCCCCCATCCCACCATCCATCACAGGCCACGTTCCTCCCTCATCCAGCTTGGACAGCAGGATGTCCCTGGATCAAGGGATGTCCCCAGACTGCAGCAGCAGGTCCCCACAGACCCCTCAGCAGCCTGACATGACCTGGCACTGACTGGCAGGGTTATGTTTCCCTGTGTAAAAGCGCTGATGTGTCAAGAGTGAAACGGCTGCCGAAGCAGAACCAAATGCAGCAAGATTTCCCCGAATGGTGAGAGAAACATTAACGCCGGTTAAAGAAAGGGAGATTCCTGCTCTCCTCTTCCTGTGCTTTGTCAAGTGTTGCTGACCCATGGCTTCACTGAGGGAAATCCCTTATCCAGAGCAAAATGTGACGTTGTCTGTGCCACCCCTAGCAAAGCAGCTCTCACTGCAAGCTCCAGCCCCTCCATTCCCTATAGGATCTATAGGGCTCATAGCAGGCAGCCCCATGGCAAGGCCTTCCTGGAGGCAGAGGGTCAGCCAGCTGCAGCAGATCTCTTTCCACCAACAGCTGTTTTTGAAGTGGCTGTGTGGGGAGAAATCCCCCGGCATCCACGGCCAATTCTGCAGCTCGCTCCCGTCCCTGCCAGCTCTCACACTGGGCTCCCCAGCCCACCCATCCCCTCAGGTCCCCATCCCTTTCCAGGGGACTGCTCCATGCAGGGCAGCCCCAGAGCTGGGTTCTGGCACAGGGAGGCCCAGCAGAGCCTGATCCTGCCTCAGGGGGCTGTGGGGGTGTGCCCTCCATGGCCCTCATTCCTCCTTCCCTCTGACCATCCCTCCATCTCTCTGTGCCAGGAGCACCGAGCTTTTTCAAGTCACGTTCCAGGGGGATTCTGGAGCCCGAACGCAGCCACCCCCGGCAAACCGCCCCGAGCCTTGCGGATGGGAACAAGCCCCTGTGCTCCACCCCCGCGCCCGGACACATCTGCACCTCGGCAGCAGCCTGGGATGAGGTCCCGCCGCCGATGGCCCCGCTGGGCTCTGCCGAGCGCTGATCCTGCCCAGCCATTGCACAACGCGCGCAGCCCCGGCCAGGGCGCCGCTGGCAGCGGGAGCTCTGCGGCCAGGACAGGGCAGGGCCATCCCACACACCCTTCCCCAGGGCACCTCCCGGGGTACAGCTGTGCCTCCAGGCCCCGCAGCCCCTGCCGAGCATCCCAAGCTCACCGGGCTCCTCTCCGCGCTGCCGCTTGCTGCGCCGTTCCCAACCTGCCACGGGAACAGGCGCTTCCCTTCGCCCAAAGGCGTCAGGCCGAAGTACACACTGTTAGAAACAGTGAGTAATAATCGCAGTGAGTAATAAACCTCTACTCATCCTCCCCACGCACTCGCTCCACGGAGCTCTGGCCTCTCCCGCTCCAGTGTGAGACCCTGCGCGCCCCGTGCCTGGAGTGGCGGCTCCCCCCAGGGATGGCTGAGCAGCCACAAGCTCCAGAGGGCTCAGATCCTCCAAAGAGCCTCTGCACCCAAAGGAAGCCTGGCTGGGGTGTAGCTGTGGGGGCTCCTGCTGCCTCCTTCCTGCCCAACTGCTCTGGCTCTGGCTGGCACAGCAATATTTGGGACCCAAACTATTGACACAAGGAGTGGGGCAGGGAAAAGGGAACCCAGCAAGCACTGGTGTTATCTCCAACACCAACGCTCCCAGGCACTGGGTAGTGCTTGGAAATAGTTATTGAATGTTCAGGATTTATCAGGGTTTGGAAGGGGAGGTGGAATTCTTTGGGGGGGGGTGGGAGGAAAAAGTCTTTGGTATTTCTGGAAATTATTTTCTGTCTCTCAGTGGCTTTGTTTATGGACAGCACATGCTCCCCGGAACATGCCCTAATGCGGAGCGTCTGCGTGGGCCTCCCGAGCCGGCCCCGTGCCGAGGGGAGGGATGGAGGGATGGAGGGGAGCCCAGTGCCTCCAGTTCCTGAAAAATGAGTCAGTGCTGGCTCGCACACAGCAGAGCCCTTCTCCAGATACACCTCGGAGCGAGTGCCTTCCAGCTGATGCAGGGGCTTGACAGCAGGATATTTCCATGGCGTAGGGATCACTCGGCAGCATGGAGCTGGGAGGGAGGGAGGGAGGGAGGGAGGGAGGGAGAAGTGTGCCAGGAGCACACAGAGATGGTCGGCTTCCCAGGGCAGGGAGGGAAGGCGCAGCAGCCACGGCTTTGCTGGAGGGCAGCAGGACTGGGACACATCCTGCCTGCTCCTCCCGGACAGGTTCAGCAGCACCCGAGGGAGTCTCAGTCCTCAGAGATGCTGAAGAGGTAGCACAGACCTTTCTCTCCTTCCCAAGGGAAAAGGGGAGACTAAGGAACCCCAAGACACCTGCCCTCCTGACTCCTTGGTGTGCACACGGGAAGAGGCAAGGAAGTGGGGAGCACACTCCTACCTGAGCAAACAACAGCATGGCTCTTCTCCGTGTTTATACAACTTTTATATAAATCCCAACAGGAAACCATTTGCTCTGGAGGATGGCAGCTCGGGCAGGGTGGGTCCCTGGCTCCTGCCAGGCACTGGGCACCATCCCCACTCCCCGTGGCCCCAGCACACAGTAATTTTCTGCTCCAGGGTGGATTCAAACAACTAAAAACAGAAGCAGTTAGAGAGGAGCCAGGGCTAAGTGTCCCTCGGAGATCTGCCTCCAAACTGCAATTACCACTGGCCATTACACCCACGGAGCTATTCTGGAGTGGTGATGGAGCCCTGTGCCCATCCATGCCCCCTCAGGGGGCACGTGCTCTCTGTGTACCAGAGAAGATTTCTCACGCTGCCTTTGCATGCCAGTGTATCCATGAGGAGTCTTGTGTAACCTGTCCCCCACTGTCCTCAGGGACCCTGAGGGCTGCACTTTCACTCCTCGCATCTCCCACACCCCTGAGTCACAGGGCTGAGCTGTCCCAGGGACGTGGCACAGACAGGACCTTTCCACTTGGACAGCAGATGCACCCCATGGTTGTGAGCTGAGTGGTTCTGAGTGGGGAAGCCCCTTCCTGTCCCGTCCCATGGCTCATTCCTGTCCATTCCTGGCTCATCTCTGGAATGCATCTGAGGTGCCAAACACAGGAGCTGGTGCTGGAGCAGGGGGTCCAGCCAGGGTCAGAGCCCTGCAATGCTGTGACATCTGCACGGGAGCCCCGATCTGACCCCTGTGTGCCCATGCTGCTGGATGTGATGGGGGCTCAGTGTCCTTTCCTCTGTCCCCCTGTTGGGCAGAGATGGCCCATGGCATTCACCACATCAGGAGGTCCAGGGTACCTTGGCCCCAGCAGCCAGGGGGTAACACAGCAGGCAGGAACAGAACAGAAATTGCCAAATCCAACAGGGACGAGAGTCTGAGCTCAGCTCAGCTCCTGGGTCTGCACAGCATCAGGAGCCTGAGGTGGGGGGCTGTGCCCAACCAGGCACAGTCCCTGTCCTTCAGGAGGGGAGGTGGTGACTGCCAGCAGACCACCCTGCCTGGCACAGATGCCCCCCAGCTCCAAAGCACATGAAAAGAGACTCCTTTTCCTCTGAGGCACAAAAACAAGGCAGCCCTCCAGCTGCCCTTGGGGAAGAAGGACACACCAAAGGCACAATCCGTGGGCAACAGGAGCAAAGCCTTTCCCTTGCCCAGTGCTCCGTGCCCCAACCTGTGGCTCAGGTCAAGAACCAAGTATTTGCTGAAATAAAAAGCAAACACAACTGCAAATGGAACTGTAGGGAAAAACTATGATGCTTAAAGCAGACACATGCTTGGAAAAATAAATATCCAACTGTGCAGCATACAGAGCACGTTAACCCTTCCCAGCTGGCTGCCAGGACTTAGGGCTACCGGGGGTATCTCCAGCACTGAGCTGTGGGCAGGAATCCAGAGGTGGGAGAGCCTGGGACATGGGGTAGGAAGGACAGGAAAGGCCCAGCCTCACCCACAGATCTCCATAAAACCATCTCAGTTCTAGAAGCATCCTCACACTCAGGGATCACTCCCTACCTGAAGATTTGATTTTCAGATCTACAAAACAATTATTGGTACCCGAAAATCTATACTGAGCTGGTCCCCCTGACTGTTTTGGGAGGAAACTGGCCAGGGATAGGGACACTGGGACATGATCACAGCCTGCCATCCCCTGGGAGGGACAGAGACCCATTACCCAGCCTCGGAGGGAGCTGGATGGGGTTTTCACTACATGCAGTCCTCCAAGGAAAGCCATCAGGACGGGAAGGACACACATTTGCCATCATGCCCAGAAGCAGAAGGCCCTCAAAGGGGCAGAAAGTTGGATTTTCAGGATGGGATGAGCATCTGTGAGTGGCCCCTTCCAGCAGCCAGGATTTTTGGGGCTCGACCCGGGGCTGGAGACAATACGGCTGCTGGCTCAGGTTATGTTTTTAGGTGGGTAAATAAAGAGGGAGCTCCAGCTGACATCTGGAAGTGACCCTTGTGTGGAACACCGCGTGTGTGGAACAGCCCAGACGATGCTCCCGCCGCCCGCCTTCACCCCGGCACCACTCGTGCCCGCACCCTGCCGGGCCAGGGGCGATTTATTTTAATCCTCTCGGAGCAACACAAGGAAGAGGCAGCAGTGCATGCCAGCCAGCCCAGGGATTAAGGGAGGAAGTGCTCCTGAGTGGGGAAGATGGCTGCTAGCCAGAGCAGGGGGCTGCGGGGCCCTCGCTCCTGCGGCGTCCCCGGGCTGCTGCGGGGGGGGCTGGCCCTGCGCCCCGCTCCTCCGTGCTGCCATCCCGCTCGTCGGCACCCGGAGAGCTCCAGCCCGAGCAAAGCAGCACCTCCACCTGCGCCGGGACCCGGCAGCCTCCGAGCCCGACCGCCCATCCCCGAGAGCCGCTGGCTCCACTGAAGCGTTCGGATTTAAACATTGCCGGGGAGGGAGCTGCCCCGGCCAGCTGCGATCCAGGACACGGGGCAGGAACTCAGCAATCCGGCCACAGAAGGAGCGACGAGGCAGCCGCGGAGCTCCTCGGCGTCACCTGAACACGGAAAGGCTTCGCTCCGTCCTCACATGAGGCCAGGGGCCACCTCCCGGCCCCAGAAGCCACAGAAACCACAACCGAGCCCCTCTGCAGTCGATCTCTCCGGGTGCCAGGGCCACCGCGCCGGCCCGGCGGTCACCAGCCATCGCAGGTGCCGCCGCCGCCTCTCTCCCGGCGCCTTGGCGAGGCTTCCAGAGCCCGGCACAGCGCTGGGATGCGGCGGCTCCGGGAGCCCCAGCAGCGTGGACACACAAAGGGAAGCACCGACCCTGGGACGGCGTTATTCCAGCGCCTCCACTCCCGCCCCGGGATCTCTGAACACAACCAAATCCAGCTCCTTCTCCATTTCTTTCTGGAAGCCGCAAGGCTCCCTCTCAGGTACTTTTCGGGAACAAGGGGCCAGGCAGCGACTCGGAAAACGAGTCCCACCAGGCTCCCCCGCGGCGGGGAGGGGTTTCGGGGTCGGGACGGTGGGGGGGGGGCTCCAGTCTCGGTTCGGCAGATGAACGGGGTCGAACCCGCCGCCTTCCGAAACTGCTGCCCCCCGAGCGGCTCCGGCCACCGAGCGGCTGCAGCCGGGAACGGCCCCGGGGCCCCCGAGCCCCGCACACCGGAGCGCCCCGCTGTCCGCAGCGCCGCGGGTCCCTCAAGGCGGAGCCCCCCCCGCCGCCAGGGCAAGGAGGCGTACCTGGGGTGTTCGGCCGCCACCGAGCCCCGTCCCCCGATGGAGCCCCGTCCGGCCCCGCGGAGCACAAAGCGACGCCCCGCGGTGCCGGTGCCGCCCCCCCCGCGGAGAGCGGCCGCCGTTACTCACCGGAGCCCCGCGGGCGGCGGCGGCGGCGCGGAGCCGCCGCTCCCGGGAACAATGGAGGGGAGCCCCGGCCGGGGCGAGAGGCGCAGCCCCGCCGCCGCCGCGCTCACAGCGGCCGCCCCATGGCAGCCCCGGTCCGGGCCGGCCGGCGGAGGCGGCGGGAGGCGCTCCCGGAGCCGCTGCCGGACGCGCTCCCGAAGGCGCGGCCGCCCCGACGCTGCCGCTGCCCGCCCGCCGCGTCCCGCCGAGCGCCCGCCGCCGCCGAACTAAGGCGCTCCCGCACCGCCCCGCCGCGACTCCTCCTCCGCCTTCCTCCTCCTCCTCAGCGGCCTGATGGGGCTTGTAGTCACAGCCGGACCGCCCCCCCCAGCCCGGACACCCTGCTGGCCTCCCGGCAATGGGATTCCAGACGTGCCCCGCGCTTTTGCGGGCGGTGGTCGCAGGCTGCGCTCGGGGCAGCGCAGGGATGCTGGCCGCGATGCTCCCCTCACCTCTGCACTCTTGCCCTGTCGCTCTTGCTGGCACCGGGGAAGCCTCAGGCCCCGTGGGTACACGGGGACCGCCTGCACCCCCTGTTACCCCTGTGCAACACCGGTCTGGAGGCAGCAGGGTGGGCAGAGCTCCAGGCGGCCTGGAGCCCCCAGCTACAGAGCAGATGTTTAAAGGGTCCCTAGTCATCAGCCCCACGTCCTCCCCAGGAGCCACTGCTGCTGCAATCCCTGCCCTTCCCAACTGTTTTCACTGGGCTTTAGAGCAGGAACATGGCAGCTCTAACACAGAGCTCCCCAAAACTCTCAACATGTGCTTCTGGCTTAGTCTCAGCTGGGACCACACTCAGCCCCTAAGCCAAAGGGCAAAATGGGATATTGTCACACCAGTGAGCCCAGCCTGACTCCTGTACTCCCCAGTATGGAAGCCCAGCTCACAGAGCCCCAGGCTGGGCACTCAGACGAGCTCCCCCAAAGCTGGACTGGCTCAGGGTAACACAGGTGGTGCAGGGCATTCAGCCTCCATGCAGGAAGCGCTGTAGGAGCAGCCAAGAGTCCAAGGCAGGGCATCCCAGGATGAAGACATCTCCAGTCAGCAGGGAAAGACCTGCCGAGGCAATGTGTAAGTGATTAAGTTATAAGAGAGAAGAGGACAGGCTGAATTAGCCCTGTCAGTCACTGGTGTTAGATTTGAACCAAATGCTGGGCATCCATCCCCAGGAGCAGCCTCCTCCTGCTTCAGGCAGCCGTTCAGCTTCCCATGCCAAGACCTACAGAATATTTCCTTTTTAGATTTGACAGATTTGTGGACAGGGAGAAGGGGGGGAAGGTAACACACCTGCTGTGATGCTCTCCCAGCAAGCTGGAGGTGGGGAGTGTTTCAGTGATGGCAGATCTGACCCTGGCCCTACCAAGCACAACTCACCCAATGCATATGTAGGGTGCAGTCACTCATCCCCTGCCCTGCCTTCCTCACTGCCCAACAGCCAGGAGCTTTGGGCTGAAAGTGCCAAGGCTGCTGGGGAGCCCTCACCTGCTGGACCCTGCTGTCCATGGGCTTCTGTCCCAGACTTATCTATGTTGGCTCCAAAACAGACCTTACAAGGCTACACCATAACCCCTCATGATGGACAGGCAGCACCTCTGTGGCTGCTGGTCCTTTGGCATGGTTTTCTGCACGATTGCATCAACAGGCCACAAATTCTCGGGCCTTTATCAATAAAGGTGCTTGGAAATGGCAGAAAATAGGAAAAAACATCCCCTGCTCATGGGAGGCTCATGGATCTGGCTGCATCCTTGGCTGCATCATGTTGGGGCTCAGCACAGAAGTGACCATGAGCTGTCACCATCTGGTGGCACAAGTTGTGCACAAGCAAGTCTTTCAGGGTGGACAGGGAGAGGAATGACCTCCTGCAGCAGGTGGGGTCTGCAATGGGCATGGCTGCGACTGAGGAGCAGCAGAGACCACGGAGCAAGCAGGAGCTCGCTGCTGGCACTGAAAGGGATGTGCAGGGCCCGGGGCAGTTCCTTGGCATCAGCAGCCAAGCTGAGCCCCTGCCCTTCTGGACCAGGGCAGGAAGCCTGTGATGTGCAGGGCTCTTCCACAAACACATTTGCATTGGTGATGCAATTTTGAGGCTTGCGAGGCCGGAGCTTGGAGAGTTTTGTCTTGGCTGAGGAGGAACAAAAGCATTTTGGGAGCAGCTTCCCTGGGACACGGCTCCCGGAGCCCACAGTTTGCACAGCCTGCTGCAGACCCCCCTTCCTCCCGCAGCACAAACAGGGGCTGGACCTGTTGGCGTGCACCCGTGTCTGCCCTCCCACAGGAGCGTGCAGGTCCCTGCATGGGACACACACGTGTGCACACGTGCAGCCCCTCCAGCTGCACACTCAGCGCTGTCAGACTGCCTGCCTCCTCCACTCGCCAGCCCAAGGCCAGGGGGTGGCCTTCATCCTCCTCCTCCTCCTCCTCATCTGCTGCCTCCACATGCCGGTTCCCAGCTGCGGCGTCGGAAGCAGCAAAACGCACCAGAGGCAAAGCTGAGCCGTGCCCGCAGCCGGAGAGCAGCCTGTCGTGCCGGGCTGCTCTCCCCAGGAGCAGCCTGTCCTGCCGGGATGCTCTCCCCAGGAGCAGCCTGTCCTGCCGGGCTGCTCTCCCCAGGAGCAGCCTGTCCTGCCGGGCTGCTATCCCCAGGAGCAGCCTGTCCTGCCGGGCTGCTATCCCCAGGAGCAGTCTGTCCTGCCGGGATGCTCTCCCCACGGCCCGGAGCGCTTCCAGTGGGAACCGGACTGTGAAGAGGGGGCACAGAAAGGGCTGAGCCGGCAGAGGAGAGGCCCCGCACAATAGAGCGGCTCCCCCCTGACCTTGCCTTCCCCGTGAAAGATCTGCAGCTCTCCCCTCCTCCCCACTACAAAGGGGCTCCTTTCAGTCCCTAATTCTGCATTTAGAAAACAAAAGCAGATGCATCCAGTTTAGGTTTGGAGAGGGGGAGGCAAGAGCAAATGCTGAAGAACAAAGAGCTTTCCCTGACAGATCTGACTGACAAAGACTTTGTCAGCTCCATCTCTGGCTGAAAGGGCTGGAGCCCATCAGGGTGCGGGGATGTGGCAGGCAGCTGCCGGGCTCCCAGCCCGGCCAGGCAGAGCAGGGCGTGCGGGACGTGCCCCGGCCCCGCGGGGCACAGCCGAGTGTGCAATGCACGCTCGTGTTCCCAGACACGCTCCTGGGGCTCGGGCAGGACACGCCCGTGTGTCCCCAGGTGGGAGGCAGCACCGAGGGCAGGCTGTGCCCGTGTCACCCTCTGTCCTGCTCCCCGGGACGTGGCTGCTGTTTCCCACTCTCCTCTCGCTGCCAGGCCGCAGGGTTTGCTCTGCGCCCTGCCGGGATTCCAGGTGCTGCCCAGCCTTACAAACCACTTCCCATCCTCTGGAACATCTGAGTCACGGAGAGCGACTTGGCACACTGTCCCAGGGCCGGCAGCTCGGCATTGGGGTGCAGGGATAGGGTTTGCTCACCCCTGAGAGAACTCGAGCCCCTCTCACACGCCACTGTCTGGCCAAGACTTTTGGACCCAAACTGGCTTTTTCTCTTCTTGGTTTCATCTCAACACCGTAACCTCCCCCACCTGCCACTACTTGACTGCTTCTCTGGGAAACATTTTTTAGGAGCCCCGGCCTGCCAAACTGCCCAAACATCATCTTCCTCATGGAGGTGAGGACCTTCTTCCAGGACCAGAACTGTGGGGCACCCACAGCTGCAGTTTTAGGAGACCTGGCAGGAGCTGATTGAACACCCAGCCTTGCCTTCAAAGCACCCAGCCCAGCTATTTTTGCCATTTCCTTGACATTAGTGTGGTATCTCATTTTCAATCACAGCTGATAAAAGCTCTCTGCCCCTGCCCCATCACAGGGCTGAGAGTCCTGGCAGCCTCTGCTTGGGCCAGGGCAGCTCCTGCTGGTCCTGAGACCCCAGCATTGGGACCAACCCCTCCAGGCAGGCAGGAGCTCTGCTCCCTGCGATTGTCACATGCCGAGGGGCTCGTTAAGACATCACATGATATTTTATTGTCTGCAGACTGCAGTCAAGGCAGGCAATTCCACAGCAGTGCTTGTAGGCAGGCCAGCACCACAGCATGTCCCCAGTCTGCCCAGGACAGGCACCTGCCTCCTCCCCAGACAGAAGGGAGATGGGGGTGAAGGGTGCTCAGGGCTCTGCACCCCCACAGCTGCTCGTGGCACAAACACAAAGCCTTCCCCACACTGCCAGAGCTGCCAGGTAAAGGGCTGAGCCATCCATCCCAGAAACCAAGAGTCCTGCCAGGCTCAGCTCCCTGCCCTGGGCTGTGCAGGCAGTCACTGCTGATCCATGGACAGAGCACAAGAGATCCTGCCTGAGGGGAGGCTCTGATTTGCTGGGAGGTTTTTGCCCTTGGAAGTGCAGTGGGGATCATCCCCATGGTACAGGATGATTATCTACTGCAGTGCATCTCCTGTACTGGGAGAGCTTGACTTCTGCCCCCAATTGATTTGCAAAGGGAAATTAATGATGTTTGCTTGACATTGCCCCTCTGGCAATGAGGCTGAGCTGCTGTGTGAATGTCATTCTGTTCCAGCCTGGCTTGCTGGCAGGGCTGGGATGTTGAAAAAGCTGTCCCAGGGGACCTCCAGCTCTTCCCATCAGCTGCCCTGATGCTCCATTCCTGCCGAGGCTCCTCGGGCTCTGTGGAAGTGCCCACACACCCAGACAGGTTCAGAGACCTGGGGATGGAGCAGTGCATCCCTGGGCTTGTTGCCTGTGGCTTGGGCTCTCTGGTGGGCAGATGCTGCTCAGCTGCCCCGGTGACATCAAGACACCCCGATGGGACAGCCACTCTAGAGCCTGGGCAGGGCCAGGACACTGCCCATCCTGTCCCCTTGGCTCTGGCCCCTGGGAAATCCTCCTGCTATCTTTGGATTGGCCCCAAAAGATCTCCAGGGGCAGATAAGGGTGCTGAAGTCCATTAGAGCAGCAACAGCCGCCTCCTCAGGCTGTTATCTTGTCTTCACAGGGGGAGGACACTCCAGATAAGAAATGCCAGTAATTTACAGCCTTTATTGTGATACAGGCACAAGACAAATCACATGGGGGTTCTCCTCAGGTGAAGACTCCATCCCCTTATCACACCCCTCCAGCAGTACCCA